CGGAGTCCCGCCCGCGTGTCACCCGGGGCTCAGCCCGGCGTTTCGGCCGAGCAGTCGCGCTGAGGTTCCGGGTGTCCCCGAGAGCAGCTTCCCCTCCTCTGGGGCCCGGCGAAGCGCTTCCTAAAGGGCTCCCACCGGGTGAGCTCTGTTCTCTAGAGTCCAGTAATGAAAAATCTAAAAAGGATGAATAAGACCTCTTTGCAGCAGGCCTTTTGCATAACTATTTCTAGGCAAATTGTATTTTTGCAGTGCATCTTGTTGAAGATGGCAATGCAGGAATGTTGCTGAAACTGCTGTCGTTGTACACTAATTTGTCATGGTAAGGAAAGTAGAAGATAACGGGGAGGGGGAGCATGTGATTCTGTGCTTTGTGTTATTATAGTGTGTTGAAAGTCTGTAGCCACGTGGTTCGAGATGTGCTGTGTCTCAGACCTACCGGAACCCAAAAAATAAAGTAAAATTTCCCAATTATAATTTAACATCGATTATATATTGAAAAAATGTTTTTGATATGTTGGGTAAAATAAAATATATTTTAAATTTAATTTCATCTGGTTTGTTTTTAACTTTTTAAACGTTTCTACTGGAGAATTATAAAACAGGTGCCTCACACCATATTTTTGTTGTACAGCACTGTTAAAGAGATGTTTTGGTGATGAACAAAGACTCAACACGGCTTTCCTATGCTGAGAAGCCATTGAGGGGAAGTGAACACTTGTTAAAACTTGAAGGTGAGAATCTAAATTTTTGTAAGCCGTAATTATTGCAGAACTCCACCTCCTCTGCACTTGGTTTTTCAGTGTTTCGGGCATTTGAAAACATTAACTTCCAGGACTGTTAAAGAGAATAGTAGTGATACCGATATGTGCGTGAGGCAAAGAACTAATTTCTTTTGATTGTCACAACTTTGTGAAATGAAAATAGGATGGATTCTGTTTTATGGACTTGGAGTATTGGAGACTTGTTAGGGTCTGAGTTAGTGTGGCTAAAGGAATTCTGAGTGTAGGTTGTTTTCTTTGGTCTCTCCCAGATTCCTAGTTATGTGTGTTCATGAGCAGGGATCCCTTTATATTGTGTATAGCAGTAGCATTTAGAATGACTTATACTTAAGTTCTGCTGTCACTGCCTTGAATTTGTAATAATATTTCCAATAAAAATATTCATTTTTCATTGATCTGTGAAAATTATGTAGCTCATTCTTTATCAAGTCCTTTTCAGCTCATCCTAGTCAGTAGTCTAGGGTAGAAGTTGAGAGACCTTGGATAGGAACCAGAACATCTGGTCTTCACTTTAATCCCACACATGAGAGAAACTCGTTTGTTTCTTTCTAACTCTTAAATTCTGTAATTCTGTATGAGTTACTGAATCAGATTTTGTGGATGGTAATATAAATATTTTAAGTGCAGTGCTTCAGTGGAGATGCAGGTGCTTCTCCATTAAGAGTGATGTAAAGTAGAGTTTTAAAATTACAGAATCACTTTCTATTTGTGTTTTTGAAGCGGATTTTTCCATGTGGCATCTAGTTTTCTTATCCATAGACTAGTGATGGTGAACCTTTTAGAGCTTTCAGTGAAACAGACAGCCCACTATGGCATGTGTGCCATAAGTTCACCATCATTGCCTTAGACTGTTAGTATAAAGAGCAGGGTTGTAGAATGGAAGCCTAGATAAAACAATGTTATTTAAGAATTTATCTTTCCATGAAATAGGAAGATGGGCCAGATCTCAGGATATCTCCAGTTAAGAGGTTTCCTCTTGTTTGTGAAGGTGTAGATCTGATCCTTTGTCAGAATAATGGACCTTTTCTTTTTTTTTTTTTTAGTTTTTGAGACAGGGTCTCACTATGTAGTTGAGACTGACCTGGAACTCACTATGTAGCCCAGGCGAGTCTCAAACTCACAGCAATCCTGCCTCAGCCTCCCTAGTGCTGGGATTACAGGCGTGTGCCTCCACACCTGGCTGGACGTTTTCTTTCTTGTCTTAGCTACTTTCTATTATGTGAGGTGCCTCTCTCCTTCCTCATTCCTAAATTTCCAAACATTTAAGATTGAGCTGTACTTCACTGAAATGCAGACTTTATTAGACCACCCTCGTCACTTGATTGTGTTCCCAGCTTTTAATACAAATCCTTACAACATTGCACCCAGTCAACAGTTACAGAATAAATGAAAGAAAATGTGTTACTGTAATTCTTACAGTCAGTCTTCAGAGCCTTAACACCTTCCTATGTCTGGTAGCATTTGGCCACCTGAGTGGAGGGAAAACAGTAAATAATTAACTAGTACAGTGATGGTGAACTTTTACAGCTTTCAATGATACAAATGGCCAAAAGCCGCACATGTGCCATGGGTTCTACCCCACTGATCTAGGATTAGAGAAAGGTAGAAAAGAAATAGTGAAATGGAAGGTACTCTGAAGAATTAAGGAAGGAAATAAAGCCAATATAAAATTTTTTAATTATCTAAATTATATTAGTCTGTGAAATTTTAGACTAGTAATTGTCAGCTGAAACTTTTTCAAGGTAAAAAAGTAAAGCAATTATATGTTGGTCTATTTATTTATTTATTTATTTAGTGAGGCAGGCAGCAGAACCACAGAGCTAAATCCCTGGCCCCTGTATATCTTTTTTAAGAGTCTGGCTGGCCTTCTGCCTAAAATGAAAATGAGTAAACCATATTATTATTACCTCTTGCCAGACTCAGTTAGAAACAGATATTTAAATATTTTAGGCAGCCTTTATTATTAAAACATTATGTTTAACTATACCAGTTTTAGTTTGTTCTTACACTTCTAGAATGAATATTAATGTCAGTACTTATCCAAAGTTTATAGAACTGAAAACAAAGAGACTCTAGGAATCACTTAGCTCAGTACCCCAAAGTGTGATATGTATATACCACTGGTCATAAACAGGATGATTTTAGATAGAATGCAATCAAGCATTTTAAATAGTTATTAGTGTATGTTAAAAAAATATAATTAGTACATCATACTCATGATTTATGGAGCTCATTATGAGATGAAAGTTGATTTTCAGATTTTAAATATGAATAGATTTAAATAAAAATATTGTCACAGGTGGTATATATGTAACTGAGGTTTGGAAAATATCCAAAGTGAGAAAACAACCTCCCACCCAACACAGTGGCCTTTCCAAGTCATATAAGCAGTATACAAGAGCAACAAATTAAATCCATTTTACTTCATGCATGGCAGTGTTTGTTCTAATATATAGGCTACTTTTTAATTGTTGGAATTGAGGAAGAAACCTGTTAGTATGATATTGTAGCTTAAAGTTAATATGATAGTAAATTAGCTAAAAGGAAGTACAGTTTAAAAATTAAATTAGCGGGCCAGGGATTTAGCTCAGCGGTTCTGTGGCCTGCCTTGCAAGTGCAAGGACCCAAGTTCAATCCTTGGTACAAAAAAAGAAAAATTAAATTAGCCACACTATTTCTAGTGCCCAGTAACCACATGTGGTTAGTAACATTCATACAACACAAATATAGGGAGAAAGTTCTTTGGACGCTATTACTCTACACTCTTGCTTAAGACCATAATTCATAATGCCCCCTTCAAAGGGATGGTACTTATTAATTTACTCATCACTCTGAGGTTAAATTGAAGGTACTAGTAACAGTACAATTAGGACAATTGATCATGGGAAATAAAGCTAGGATGGCGTTCTCACAAACCTACTAATTCTTTTTATTGGAGGAAGTGGTTACTCTTTTTTTAAATTAATACTGTCTCGAATTCATAGATGTAGAGAACAAATCCAAATAATACTGGGGATACTTGCATAGATGATTTCTTGGTTTTCTGAATACTTCATGCAAATACAAATTGTATCTTCTTGATATTTTAAACATTTTTATTTTTAAATGCTTTCAGTGAATGGAACTGACTGGTCTATTTCATCACATCAATAAACATGAGCGGTACCAAACCTGATATTTTGTGGGCACCGCACCAGGTTGATAGATTTGTTGTGTGTGACTCAGAACTGAGCCTTTATCATGTGGAATCTACTGTGAATTCAGAACTCAAAGCTGGATCTTTACGTTTATCTGAAGACTCTGCAGCTACATTACTGTCAATAAACTCAGATACACCCTATATGAAATGTGTTGCATGGTATCTCAATTACGATCCTGAATGTCTCCTAGCAGTTGGACAAGCAAACGGTCGAGTTGTACTTACAAGTCTTGGTCAAGATCATAACTCAAAGTTGAAAGATTTAATAGGAAAAGAATTTGTCCCAAAACATGCACGACAATGCAATACCCTTGCATGGAATCCATTGGATAGTAACTGGCTTGCTGCTGGTCTAGATAAACACAGAGCTGATTTTTCAGTGCTAATATGGGATATCTGTAGCAAATATACTCCTGATATTGTTCCCATGGAAAAAGTGAGACTCTCAGCAGGTGAAACTGAAACAACATTATTAGTAACAAAACCATTATATGAATTAGGGCAGAACGATGCTTGTCTCTCTCTTTGTTGGCTTCCACGAGACCAGAAACTTCTCCTTGCTGGTATGCATCGTAACCTAGCCATATTTGATCTTCGAAATACAAGCCAGAAGATGTTTGTAAACACAAAGGCTGTTCAGGGGGTGACAGTAGATCCATATTTTCACGATCGTGTTGCTTCCTTCTATGAAGGTCAGGTTGCAATATGGGATCTTAGAAAATTTGAAAAGCCAGTTTTGACTTTGACTGAGCAACCAAAACCCTTAACAAAGGTAGCATGGTGTCCAACTAGGACTGGTTTGCTCGCAACTTTGACAAGGGATAGCAATATTATTAGGTTGTATGATATGCAGCACACACCCACTCCCATCGGGGATGAAACTGAACCCACAATAATTGAAAGAAGTGTGCAGCCTTGTGACAATTACATTGCTTCCTTTGCATGGCACCCAACAAGTCAAAATCGAATGATAGTTGTGACTCCCAACCGAACAATGTCTGACTTCACGGTTTTTGAAAGGATATCCCTTGCTTGGAGCCCAATTACATCTTTGATGTGGGCTTGTGGTCGTCATCTGTATGAATGTGCGGAAGAAGAAAATGATGGTTCTTTAGAAAAAGATATAGCTACGAAAATGCGCCTTCGAGCTTTGTCAAGGTATGGACTTGATACAGAACAGGTTTGGAGAAACCACATTTTAGCTGGAAATGAAGATCCACAGCTCAAGTCACTCTGGTATACTCTGCACTATATCCTTTGCACTGTGAATTTTGTGAGGTAAATCAGGTAGAAGTGTTTTTGAAGTTTGATGGAATATGAGTCTGTAAATACAGTGAATGCTTTATATGCAAGTTCAGATGATAAAATAATGTAAAATTGTTCAAAACTCTTAAATTTAAGTTACTGCTTTCTAGATTGTGTAGGAGGAATAAAAGTCCACAATAGAGTAGGCTCTTTTTTGCATGGATGCCTGTTATAAATTGGCTCCTAATCAAAATTAATTTAGTTTTGAAGTATTAAGCATCATCACTAGTATTTCCTATGCATTTAAATACTTATGAAGCAATATACAGAAGATATGGATCAGAAATCTCCAGGCAACAAAGGATCATTGGTTTATGCAGGAATTAAATCAATTGTAACATCATCTTTGGGTAAGAAAAATCCCATTTTATCTTCTCAAATGTTTATAACTTTTTATGCTTATTTTGTCCCTCACCCACAATCTTGTTTTTTCCATGCACCATACAGTGAATGGGTAGCAAAAGTTGTCCTTCCGTCCCTTCTCATTAAGGTACATAATTATACATTCATAGAAGAAGGAAAGAGGGAGAAGGAAGAAAAAAATTAGAGTTCTTCTACCGGATCTTTAGCAGTAAGGTTACCTTGCAAATAAAATAGACGAGATACCTACTTTCTTGGAGCTTGTGTTCTAGTGGGAAAGAACTAAAAGTAAATTAATAAAATAAAGGAACTTATGTTTAGTGATTTATGTAAGAAATAGAGCAAACACTGAGTTAGATAATCATAGGTATATCTATTTTAGATTAGGGAGTCAGAGAAATTTCCCTGAAGCAGTGACAGCTCAATCCATCTGAGCGTTCATTCCTATCCGAGTAATTCTTTGATAACTAATTTGTACTTACAAATAAACACATATTCCATATTTATGGTATAAAATTTTGAGTGAGACAAGGAATATTTAAATACGTTATTGGAGCTGGGTGTGGTGGCGCATGCCTGTAATCCTAGCACTCGGGAGGATGAGGCAGGAGGATTGCTGTGAGTTCGAGACCAGCCTGGGCTACCTAGTGAGTTCCAGGTCAGTCTCAACTACATAGTGAGACCCTGTCTCAAAAAATAAATAAATAAAATAAATAGTTATTGAAATACTTTTCTGTAAAATGTGTTTCCTTTCTTTTTTTGGTACCGAGGAGTAAACTTGGGACCTTGCTCTTGTAAGGCAGGCAGCAGAACCCCTGAGATAAAACCCCAGCCTTCCCTTTTATACTTCAAAATAATAAAAATACAAAAATGCTTCTGTTTTTAGGAATGGTGGAAAGCAGCAGACATAATTGGACTGGGTTGGATAAGCAGACTGATATTCAGAATTTAAATGAAGAGAGAATCTTAGCTTTACAGCTTTGTGGGTGGATAAATAAAGGAACAGATATAGATGTGGGGCCATTTTTGAACTCCCTTGTACAAGAAGGAGAATGGGAGAGAGCTGCTGCTGTGGCACTGTTCAACTTGGATATTCGACGAGCTATCCAAATCCTGAATGAAGGGGCATCTTCAGAAAAAGGTATTGGGTTATATCCTAAGAATTGGCTCTTTGTTGACTCCTTTGAAGAAAGAATGCTGATAATTTTCATGTATCTAATATTTTTATGGAAATTTTTGTTGAAACGAGTATGTTAGTTTATCTGTAACAGTAAATATTAGACCATCTCTTATTTGTGCCTTGGTTTAGGTGGGTAATAATAAAGCTGTATGTTAAATGTCATTTTAATAATTTTATGAGGAGCTGTGAAATAGGTCTATTTTCAATATTTTTTTAAATTTTTTTTAAAAAACAGTTCACATACATTTAAAATTACTTTTTAAAAGATTTAAGACTAGCTTGCAAGCATTTTATGGAACATATTTAAGTGTATTTTAGTTTATACTTTCCTTTTTGGATGGTTATTGGTTGACCTTTAGGAGATTCTAAATGACATTTTTATTTAGATCAGTATAGATTCTTATAAAAAGTATACTTTAATCTACAAAAAATGCTTCTGCTTGAGTCTTGTAGACTCAAGATTCCCTATGGTATTTTTTTTTAAAAGCAAAAATGTGACGAGATAGTTTTACTCTGGGATTTATTTCACCAGAGGATCTCTTAATCTAAAATTTTAAGGTTTTTTTCTTATGGAAATATTTCATTTAACAATACCTAAATTGTATCTACCTATTTTAGTATACCTAGTAAATTGTTTTATTTTTCTTCTCTCGCTTTTTTTTTTTTTTTAGTGGTAACAGAGAGTGAACTTAGGACCTTGTTTTTGCGAGAGAGGCGGGGTGCCACTAAGCTAAATCCCCAGCATAAATTGTTTTCTGAGTATTCAAAATACTACATTTTGTACTTGCTGGTCCATTTTGAAACCATTATAGCTGTAATATAAAGAAAAATATGAAATTAACTGTAGTGTATTAGTATTTCGCCTAGGTAGGCATATTTTCCTTCACATTGCTCTCATGAAAAACCTCTATTTGAGAGTGCAATAAATGATACGTGAGGATGGAAAAAACAATTGGCATTTAAATTCAAAAACTCCATTTCTGGGCTAAAGATGTAGCTCGGTAGTAGAGCACTGACCTGCTGTAGTATAATCAATAGCTCTACAAAAAGAAGAAAATCTATTTCTAATTATAATTTTGCTACAACAGATACTTACTTATCATGTATACCTAGAAAATTTGGTGGTAGATTTAAACACTTGTGCTTACACAGAAGATGAATTACAAGGTAATTAGAGGAAAATGGTTTATGAAAATGAAAAATAGACTGTTAACATAAAGTAGGTATTGCTGTTTTATTTGGAAAATAATGATTTTAACTGAGAACAGAGAATAAAAATATTATAATAAATGTAGAAAATACCTAATAAGAAAAGTTAAAGGGGACTTAGTTTTCTCTTCTGAGGTTTAATTTATTTTAGAAGAATTGGCGGCCATAGGGCTTCCGTGGCCAGATTGACAACTTCTGAGAAGCCAAATAATAAACTCCTAAGAAAAAATTTTTGAAAACTAAAAAAAAAAACAAAACAAAAAATTATTGGTGGTTCACACCTATAATCCCAGTACTTAAGAGGCTGAGGCAGGAGGATCTCCATGAGTTTGAGGCCAGCCTGAACTGCATAACAAGACTCTGTGTCCACCAAAAAAAAAAAAAAAACTGTTGGCAGAAAATTGTTACAAATATGCACATATGCAATTCTATGGTAATTCTGATAGTTGAATTGTCCTAGAAAAATCAGAAGTATAATACTATAATAAGAATGCTGAGGGCCAGGGATTTAGCTCAGCGGTTCAGTGGCCTCCTTGTAAGTGCAAGAACCCGAGTTCAATCCCTGGTACCAAAAAAAAAAAAAAAAAAAGAATGCTGAAATAGTTGCTTTCTGAACTTTGTGATTCACACACATGTAAAATGTATATTTAGGAAAATAAAATGCTTTTGAAAATTACAGTTCTGAAATGCAGTAAAAATTACTGTCTGTGCTTTGAAATAACACAACACAAATGACCTTGATAAAGTTGGCAATGATTCTGGTAAAATGGTTTTACTTTTCTTCATTTGGATACTAAGCAATAACATAATATACAAGAAAGTACCTCAAACAAGAACCTAAAAATTAAGAGATACACTTGTCCTTCACAAGGTTTACAAGTTTGCATGTAAGTTTTATGACAATGGAAAGTTTCTGCTTGTAGTCCTTGCCGAATTTTCCGGTCTAAATCATAACCGTTATTTCTCGTAGACTCGTTTTTCTAGGGTAAAAGCCACCCTCTGATCTCTCTTTATTTATGGTTTAAGGAATACATACCAAGTTCTTTACTACCTGGCTGTTTTTAATATGCAGGAGATCTGAATCTCAATGTGGTAGCGATGGCTTTGTCAGGTTATACAGATGAGAAGAACTCCCTTTGGAGAGAAATGTGCAGCACTCTACGATTACAACTAAATAACCCGTATCTGTGTGTCATGTTTGCATTTCTGACAAGTGAAACGGGATCTTATGATGGTGTTTTGGTAAGTGAATTTGTTTTCCAAGATCATCCTGTGAATTAAGATTGGAGTTCATTAAAATTTGACCTTGTGAAAATTTTCAGATATGTTTTTCATTAAATAAACTTTGGTGCATATATAAGATAAAGCATCTAACGCTTTTCTTGAGCACCTGTTTCTGGGTATCATTGCTCATCTAGAGTTAATGGATCTCAAACTGGATTTGGTTTCCATAGCCATGTTAGTGTAATTTATAGATATAGAACGAATATATTTAATTCCTTAAGAACTGAGCTGTAGAAATCTAATACATAAACATAAAAATATACTTGTTATTTAAATATATTCTGTTTGTATATTATTTTGCTTTTTAGCTAAATGAAACACTCATGATCAGTCTTACTAGTTTTGGTCAAGGTAGCCATACATCTTTTCTGAGTTAACACTTGTTAATTCTCAGACATGTTTCTGTTTGGAAGGTAATTATAATTATATATTAGTTGTTTGGAAGACCATACTACTACTTATAGTGGACCTTTTTTTTTTTTTTTTTCAGTATTTGGTCTTTTTTGTTGTTATTTTTCTCTCCTGCTTTAGCCACCCATGACCACATCACTAAATAGCTTCTTTATCGCAAAGTGAGGAAAGGATGAAGTTGGTTTCTGTTGTTAGGTTTTCATCTTCACATGAGTACAACTTTGCATCGCTGGGCTTCTTTCTAGCAATGAGAAGAGCTTTATAGCATTTCTTTTGTTACAGTGTTTGGATAATTGACTTAAATGTCAATTCCTAAGACTTTGTAAAAGTACATACTTTATTGGGGTATCATAGTAAAATTTTCAGTGTTAGTGTTCATTTTGGCATTTTCCATAGTTCATCTATTTTCCCTTTACTTTTTTGCGGGGGTACTGGGGATTGAACTTGGGTCCTTGCGCTTGCAAGGCAGGCCACCGAACTGCTGAGCTAAATCCCCGGCCCTTTCCCATTACTTTTAATACATTACCATTGAACTTTTCTAGCCGTTTCAAATTAATGCTTATTTTTTTATTGTTACTACTACTTTTGTTAGAAAATACATTAAATATTGAATCTTGAAGCCATAAAATGATATTTCCAGCAAGTAAAAGAGAATGAAGATTAGAAAAAGTGAATTTATTAAGTATACTGCTTAAATATTAAATTTCCATATTTTAAGTTAACTGATTTATAGTAAGTACCCTTTCTTTTTTATACTTAAATGTGGGTTATTAAGGAATACTTGAGATGAAATTTATATATCCAAACTGTTTGACTAATGTACTTAATTATACTTCATGTGTATGTAATTGTAATTAGTTTTGTTTTTTCTTAAATGTAAGTTGCAGTGAGGTAGTTAAGCACAGTGAATTGGAAAGTCTAATAAAGGCCTGAGTTTCTCTGCCACAGTTAACCTCTTTGGGCTCTAATTTTCTCCACTCTAAAGTGGGACAAATAATATTTATAATACTTTCCAGATCAAAATTGTAACACATGCAATTAAATAAATAATATTTATAATACTTTCCAGATCAAAATTGTAACACATGCAATTAAATCTAAGAGCTTATTTCCTCTAGATTAGAATTGTATTTTATAATTAAGAAAACATACTAAAGGATTGTATTTTTAAAGACAGAAAACTGTTTTATAGAATGGAAATTCTTCAAAGGAAGTTAGATTTTTTTCCACCTTTAAATAATTTTTTACTAATCACAGAATTAATGTTTATAGCAAACATTTTTTGTAGGTGTTTTACAATATTGATGGGTATATAAAAGTTTCTTATAATGCCTCTGAAAATTTTGCCACAAATCACATGTATAACAATATTTTAATTTAGACACTTTATTTAGATGACTTATTTATTAATTTTAAGACCTGATGTTTTATATTTAGAAAGATACAGGTATTCTTTCTAAATTTTGTACTTCTATACTCAGTTCACAAATTTCTTAGACTTGTTGATTAACAGCCAAGGAAAGATTTTCTAGTTTCATCAAAATTAATTTCTGTAATAGAAGAATTACATGACATCTTAAATTTGATGTAATATCCATAATTGCTTATATTTTATGTTGTTATATAAAACAACTGAACTCATGTAGTCCGAAATGTCCTCACACTCATGATGATCCTCCTGCATCAGTCTCCCAAATACTGGAATTACAGATGTGTGTCACCAGCTTGAATTTTTTTTAAAAGTAAATTTGGTCCATTTTTTAAAAGTTAATCTTTACCTGAAGGACTACAGCTTTAATTCTAAGTTTCTTGAGAGTTATATGAGAAAAGGAATCCCAGGCAGTCACTGACTCTTCCAACATTATACAGTAATTTAGCACACTTGAAAACAAACTTACATATTTAGTCTCTGTAAAAATTTAAATCTTACAGCATATACAATTAACTTGTTGCTTTTTCTCTTTTTTCCAGTATGAAAACAAAGTTGCAGTACGTGACAGAGTGGCATTTGCTTGTAAATTCCTTACTGACAATCAGGTGAGAACTGATTTAATTCCATATGTGAGATGAGTAATTATTATCAGTTATAAGAAGTAAGTCTTTATATGTGATTATATATGAGCTTTTTATAGATTATAAAAGTACTCGTTTTTTATTATATTGGAGATACTATAAATGTGTCTATCATAACTACATTTACTTCTTTAGAATGTTGACTTGATATTTTAGTTCAGTTTTCCTTTGGGGAGAAAGATTGGTTGGCAGATAAAAGTTAAACTCGCTACTTAATGATGACAGAATTCCTTCATTTTCAAACAGTAAATAGTTACTGGCAGCTGTGAATACAGTGATGGAAAAGTATAACAGTACTGCAGTATGTTAAGTACTTTAATAATGATAAAATCCTGAGGAATATAGAGGAATCTTGGCTGGAGTTTGAGGTGGCATAGAGTCAGAGAACACTGAGAAATGGTTGTTATTGTTTTTGAAGTTTCCTTTCAGCTCCGATTCTTTGATTGTATTAAGCACTGCCACAATGAGACAATAAAAGTTTTGCAGAATAATGGGGACAGTTCTCTCTTTAAATAGTAAACTATTGTTTTAATAAAATAATTATCAGAACATAGTCTTGCTTTCCAAAATGTTTGGTAATATTTGTGGATACTGATTAAAATTTAAAGTAGCAGATGGTAGCCTTCTTGCCTTTTAACAAAGGCTTTTATTTTAAATGTTTTCCATGATGAATCAGATTGTTCCAAATGTAGTTTTCAAGTACAAACTATGTAGTGAAACAGACTGCTTTAGAAAAAAAAATCACTTTGAATTTTCTAGTTAAATAGATACATCGAGAAATTGACCAATGAAATGAAAGAAGCAGGAAATCTGGAAGGAATTTTGCTTACAGGCCTTACTAAAGATGGAGTGGACTTAATGGAGAGTTATGTTGATAGAACTGGAGATGTCCAGACAGCAAGTTACTGCATGTTACAGGTTAGTGCAGTTTAACAACACCTTAAAAAAAAAAAAAAA